TGTGTGTGTGTGTGTGTGTGTGTGTGTGTGTGTGTGTGTGTGTGTGTCTCACTTTCAAATATACAGTCTGTATATTTTTCTACTATTTTGTCTAATACTCTACGGGTCGTATTCTAGAGCTCTACTAAATGCTCAAGTCAGGATTGCACTGGAAATACGACCCTAATGGCAGGGACATGAGTGATTTCCAGTGCTTTAAACCATACTCAAATCCTGACTTGAGCATTGAGTAGAGTTCTAGAATACGACCCTATGTCTAGTACTCTAGTTTATCTCCTTTCTTATAAATTGGCCTGACAACACCTATTTTAAGCTCGGGGGGGATATTTCCCTTTTGCAATACAAGCATTAATAAGGTTAGCGATTGCGCCTGATATTTTTTCCAAATTGATTTTATGTCAAAAGCTCTAATTTTGTCAACTCCGGGTGCTTGGTTAGCGTTAATTGCTTTTATAATGTTAGCAACTTTATGAGGTGTAGCTTTAATTTTTGGTATCCAATGCAGACTCAAAGCAGTGACTGCTAGTAACGACTCTCTTAAGACAGCTCTGATCAATCAAGAAACTTACACTCAGAGCATTTGTGAGGAAAACAATGCACTGCAAGAAAAGAATGCAGCATTGGAGCAGGAACAAGAATCTACTGGAAGCATTGTGAAGGAACTTCGAGCTAATATTCAGGTTTGGTTTCCATATCTACTGCACTGCATTCCAAAGACCCAGAGTACGTATCTACCGTATTTTCTTTTTCAGGATGCCACCAAAGCTAATGACTTTTTAAAAGCCGAACTGGAAATTTCTATTAACAAGAATAAATACTTAGAAAAAGAAATTATTAATAAAACACAGGCAAGTATACAAATACGACTGTTTTTAGTTTTTGACTGTGCTGTGTAAAAATAATAAAACTTTTGTTGTTCTAAATAAAGCTTCTAGCAGACGCAGAAACGGATAAACAGGAATTGCTATCCAAAATATCAATTATAGAAACGGAAAACTGTGAAATAGAAGCTGATTTGAACAAAGCCACAAATGCTAAGATCACGGAACTGACCACAATCATCGAAACCAAAAATCAAGAGCTTGACTCCATAGCATTTATAGTTTCGCATCTGATGACTGAAGTAAAATCGGCTGTGGACGCTCGAGTTAAGTTAGAAATTACTCTGCAGAGCATCAAAAGTGACATTGACATAGAGAGGCAGTCAACTATGGAAAAAGAGCAAAAAATGATAAAACAGATTGAAAGATTGGAAGCTGTTGTTAAAGTAAGTTAGTTATAGATATTTAGAAAAGAGGGATCCACGAGATTCTTTTTTAATATCAAGTTTTTATTCTAGACCAAGGATGACAACCCTTCGAAACGCATGAACATTATTATGGAACACAGACGCGACAAGGTGAAGTACTGGTTTATTGTATTTAACCCTTTTTAGTGTATAAACAACATGGCGAAAGACGAAACTATACACCCAAATACAAGGTGAACTAAATTATTGCGTTTCAAATTTAATTTACAGGAACGGCTACAAGACATGATCAAAAACATACAGGGGAAAACTGACAACATTCAGAAGGAACTTACAGGACCATTGATGCGATCTTCAGCAATTCAACCTGAATTAGACGATAATGCTGTTATGTCGACTCCTTCTAACGGGAGGGTAGTACAGTAACATAAATATTTTCTTACAATATGGATATGCCTAATCATATCATAATGTTTTATAATATTTATAAAATAATCTTACATATACAGCGTAATCCTGCACCAATGAACGAGCCTCATTTTCCAACACCACGCGTGGGTCTCAACAACGACAGTCTCTTCAATTTCCTCAGCGATGACAGTATGGATGAAGACAACTCTCTTGACGTAAATTTAATTTTATTGTATCCTCTTAGACTAAAAATGTCTTCATACAACTTTGCTCATGGCTCTTTCGGCTTACATTTTGCTGTAAAGTCAAAGTCAAAGATTATTTATTCCATAGGTAAAATAAATTTACACTTGAAATCGTCACATTTAAGCTACTGCTCGTTCACTACGCTGACCTCCCTGAGAAGAACGAGCAAGAAACTCTAGGGATTGCTCTTTTCAAATAAACTTAAATGCTATGGAGTACACTTTGAATCAAATTTGTGTGGATTCTGGAGCTGTGTCGTCTTTCCATACAACTTTATCTAATACGTAGTCTTCAATTTTGTAATATGATTTTTCGATCAAAATATTTTTAATGTGGTTTTTAAACTTAGGAAATGACAAACTTAATATTGTATGCTCCTGAATCTTATTGTAAAAACGTATACAGTTCCCCATAAAAGAGTTGTTTACCTTGTTGTTGTTGTTGAGTTGTTGAAATCGTGTAACTTGTAACAAATGTAACTTGCGTTACTAGCCGTTGCCAATATTTGAAGTGTCTTGCTTACCGTCAAAGTATATATATTTAAGGGAATTTCTCGTCAACTATGTTATTTTAGGTTGCGGAAGTAAACCGACGATTTGAAGCATTATCACGTGGTGAACGCCTTACGCCGGTACCGCTGGCGTCGCTGAGGAAACGTCGCGCAAGTATGCTTATACCGCACGGTGGACTAAGCTCTAAACATCATTCCCAGCCCAAAAAGAATGAGGTTTGTTTTTCTTTTTATTGCTAGCTTTCTTTATTTGATATACGAACAGTTACGTTAATTTGTATTTTTCCCAGGACATCATTTCCTTGTCGCAAGATGAGAAATCCGTGAAGGACAAGCCACGTTTATTCTTAAAACACAACCGCAACAGAACCAAGTCTAAGAAGAATTAGATTTAATTTATTTCAATCTTATATTGTTACTTTAAATGATTATGTAATCTTATATTGTTACTTTAAATTAGTATGTAATCTTATAATGTTACTTTAAATTATTATTTAATCTTATATTGTTACTTTCAATTATTATGTAATTATCTTTGTTACAAAAAAATGTTGATTTGCTAAATTTGAGTCGGTATCAATGGAGGGATATATAAAGAAGAAATTTTAGTCTGTGTCACTGTTGTTGTATAGATTCTCCTCTCGGTGAATTCACCGATCTTCTTTTTTAAGTTTTATGGTCCCATGGAAGTAATTGATGATTTAGCCAATGTCTAGTTGAGGAACGCACGCGTTTTACACAAAATTTGACCAGTGAATTATTTTTTTTATTTATTTATTTATTTATTTATTTATTTCTTCTTACAAAGGTGATCCTTATTTATACACAACATAATGAATTTAGACTTAATAAAAGAATCTAATTAAGATACCTTTGTAAGAGGCTGGAGTCTATACTAGGAATTAACCTATGTGACAGAACTCCAGGCTCTCACCCGACTGAAAATTCACTGAGAGGTGAATCTACAATGACAGAGAGCCTACAATTTTTGAGTAAAAAACGCATGTGTTCCTTACCTTGACGTTGGCGGAATCATCGATGGAGCTATAACATTATAAAGAAGAAGGTTGAATGACTGACAAAGATATCGCTATACTATTTTGTCTCCATCTTACCACAAAAAGCGTCAAGTTTTCGTACACTTTGTGTGATGATTTTTGGTCATCAAAACATCTAATTACAAAACAAACTGAATCACGTCATCAGTAATTAAATATTAATATGTTATTTTTCAATTATCGTCCATTATAGCACAGCTCAAGTTAAACTGGTCGTTATGAAGTGAAACAATTGACGACTCCCGTCAATCGATTTCGATAATATAATACTTGTTTGCCCAACTCTAATGTGATATTTCGAATTCGGGCCGGCCAATCGGAGCTCAGTTGTCATTAGGCAGCATAATTTTGTCACAAAATAAATGACATTTCGTCTTGATTTCTGGTTACTCTGGTAACTATGACTATGGTAAAAATAATGTGCGAAATAAAATAATGTACCAAATAATTGTATTAATTTCTGTATTATGTGTACCAGAGCAGAGTAACATAATAACTCTGGGACAAAGCACAACACCCATATGATAATCTCTTCCGATCACGTTTTGATGTACTTACTATATCTAATATAGATTAGGATTGTTCACATTTAACACTGTGATTTATATTATCAACCTTGTTGATATCAGTAAAGATGCTATCACTGTTGTTATGCAAGACTAGTTTGTAGTGTTCGGATGAAGGCACGGGGGCGTTTGGCTTCGCGTGATCTCTCTTGAAGTGCCGGCTGAGGTGACTTGTCTGAGTAAATTTGCGGTCACATATTTTGCATTGGTATTTCTTTTCACCTGAAATAAATAACTATAGTTATTGCGCTGGGTAACTGTGCAGATAGGTTCAGTTAGGTGTAGGTATGTTATATAGGTAGCCCATTGGGTTAACTATAGTATGAATCATAATTAGATGTCCAAAATGTAAACAAAGAAATGTCCGTGTCAAAGGGTGAATGCAGGTGTGATAAACTGAACCTGTCTGCACAGAGAATTTTAATTGTCGAGTACAAAACATTACTAATAAATAAAAACTCTAACAACACTAAATAATGTAACAAACGCACTACGGACGCAATAAACATTCGTGTGCCTTTTTCCAGCGTGACTATGGTCGAGTTTTACTTTTTTTTAACTTTAATTTTGGCTACGTAATGCAATTATAATAAATATTTTTTCTACCTAATTGATGATATTACTAATTTAATATTTTCTGTCATAAATAGCATCGAGTAATTGAAAAATTTTGATTTTAACAAAAAATGGGAATTGTCCAATTCTGCTCCACCTGTGGGGTACTTTGATACATCGCTTGGGGACTTAGAATCAATGTAGTATGCCATTCCTGGTTGCCACGTACCATCAGCACTAGGTGATCAACTGTTCATAAAGTATGACGCTATATGTGTTTCAGCACTTGCTAGATCAAGACCTCTTTCTAGGGCACCATTTGAAAAGTGTTCTTTGTAATGTAGTCGTGGAAGTAGAAATACAGGAGGAAGAGCTGACTATAGCACAAAATATCACTAGTTCCCTTTACAATAACTTGTTGAAACAGTTTAACATTTTTGTATAAAACAACTATAGTAGCACTTTGATACGTACCAAATTGTACCCACTCACTAGTGTATAAAAGTACCCCACCGGCCGGTTTAGAAAAAAAACATTTATTTAATAAAATCTTTATTCTCTCAAAGTCACATGCAATTCTAATTATTGCAACACTAGTTTAGCTTGTATTAAGACACAAAACCCTATAAAGTGAACAAAACTGCAGTGGCAGTATTTGTGTCGCTTATTTTTTTAGTCAACGGCTAAAAAAAACACTTTGTGAGCTGTCGAACGACAACGGCTAACTCGTGAGCTGCATCATCGCAAGTCTGTTACTCACACGTACAAAGGCACCTTTTAGTATTACACAACTAATATTATTGTTTGAGGGCATGGAGATAATGCAGGTGTATGAATGTGCCCCCTGTATCAAACTGCCCCGCTTATCGTCTAAAATAGGAAACTTCCATTTAAAACTTTTTGCTCTGTTAACCCCTTTGTTTACTATTTGGACATCTAATTATGATTCATAATATAATTGGTTATTTGAAATACACATCAACAACGCGATGTTAGGACAATATCGACTTTTGTAAGTATGTAAAACATTAATACCACCGAGTGAGTTTTTGCAGCAGTAGAGTTCTTTGTGGAAGAGTTTGTCCAGGGAAGTACCGCCACCTTATCTATTTCTGCCTCCAAGCAGTAATGCCAACATTACTGTGTTTCGGGTTTGAAGGGTGCTAGTGAAATTACAGGCACATAGGACTTGTCAACTTATGTTTAAGGGTGACGCGCGCAGTGGCAGTGCCCTTCAAATCTTTGCTGCAGCTGGCACTGCAACTGTTATGGACAGGCGTGTCGCGCGTACTATCAGGTGCACGACTAGTTTGTACTGTCACATAGTATCATAAAAAAAAGTTTGGGTGTGACGGGACGAACAAGTCGAGCGCCTGATGGTAAGCGGCACGCCTGTCATAACAGTTGCAGTGCCACTGACACTTCCACTGCGCCTTTCACCCTGAGACAAGTTTACAAGTCCCATGTGCCTGTAATTTCACCAGCACCCTTACCCTTCAAAACCGGAACGCAGTAATGCTCGCATTATTGCTTGGCGGCAGAAACAGGTTAGGTGGCAGTACTGCCCTGGACGAACTCTTCCACAAGGAGCTCTACTACTGCTAAAACGTTACCTGTATGGACGACCTTATGTTGCTTTAAGGCGGAAGAGGTGTAGAATGTTTTGCCGCAGTCGCAGCGGTAGTCACGCTGGCCCTTGTGCCGCTTTAGGTGGACCTTGTACGCGCTGCATGTCACGAAGCCGCGGTGACATTCCTTGCAGTTGTACCTGGTAAGAAACGGGTAAATGTCACCACGACTGAGCATAATACATGTAATTGTCTTAAATAAAATATAAATTACATTACAACTTTTTTATAACTCCAAATTCTTTCACAATTCTTTTACCGTAAGTGCAGCTCGTATGTGGAATAAACTACCTGCTAACATTCGTGACAGTCCATCGGTGGCATCTTTCAAACACAAATTAAAAGAGCACCGCGTTAGATAGTTTATAGGTAACATATTTGTAAACAAATAATCTGTTATTATAATACATATTCTGCTTATGTATGTATTTATGTATATAAAGATCATGTATGTGTGTATGTCTGTCGTATGTATATTATTATCATTTATATTTTGTTCACATTTAAATTTAAATTTTGTTGTACAATAATTAGTCTCGCAGACTTCATTTTTGCACCACGGCTAGGGTTGGCTGGAAGAGATCTCTTATAGAGATAGGCTCACCTTTGTATATGTCCATTGTAACGTGTGTTTCATGTGTCTTTTCTTTGTACAATAAAGAATATTATATAAAAAAAACCGACCTCCAATGTTCGTGGAGTGACAACTTTAAGTTGTATTGCAATCGGTTACCGGAAATAATGTAAATGGAAATTCTGTATACCCTCTATCCAAAAACAAGAATCATCGAAATCGGTTCATAAATGATTATCGCGTAACATACAAAAAACATTCGAATTAAGAACCTCCTCCTTTTTTAAGTCGGTTAAAAAGTACAGTGTTTACATAGGAATTGACACAATAATTTTTTTTATTTTTGAAAAAACAAATATACGCCATTTAAATTCGGAAAGATAGTTTCATTTCCTATGTGTAACAATCGCGAAAACCCAAAAAGCTATATACAGTATTTACACATCTTTTATTTAAAATACTAAATACACTCATCAAAAGTGTCTAGTGATCGAGGTATTTTTTTAATATTTGATTACCCTATTAAAATTAAATAAAAATATCTATATCAAAATTGATCTTTTTCTTTTTAATCAATCAAAATATTAACATCTCGCCAACTGTCAGTCGCACGTTACGGACTTCTCTTACTCTTTCTTTAAACGTCCTATCTACTCTTATAACTTCTATTCCAGCTCCTTCAAGGTTAGAAGCATCAAGGTGTGGAATTCTCTGCCTGAATCGATAAGACGCGCTAAGTCTATTGAGTCTTAAAAACTTACAGCATTATCTTATACTCTATTTTCACCTACTCTTACCTGTTTTAAATCTTATGTCATTATTATTATGTTTCATAATCCTACTTTCATTGTGTGTAATCATATGTATTTTTTGTTATTTATTTATCTAAGTATTTAATTTATTTATACTATTATTATTTTTGATATCTGTTTCAGACTATTTTTATTATTCTTCTTCTTTTTCATTTGTGTATGTGCAATATGTGTATTACAGTCTGTTCCAATCAATTATGAACAATAAGTAAACCTGTTTGGTTAAAATTCTAAAGCAATCACTCAATAAATCTAATAAGTAACACTTTCACGTATATTTCGAAGATTTTGATCTTTGATTTTGAATAGCATCGTAAAATTGTATTTGAAAAATGGTAGTCTAAAGTGAGGTTATTATCCATCTATACTTCTATGACTTGCCCGTGCATAGTGCACTTTGAAAAAAAACATTCGGTTCAATCAATTAAACTTTAGTAATCTGTTATTAAATCGAACATTTTAATCGCAATAAAACGAGTATCTAAGTGTAAGGATTTGAAGGAGGATTTAAATTGAAATTTTAAGTATGCTTATATAGGTTATGTAAGCAAAAATTGAACAAATCGATTCATTCAATTAATTAATCGATTTGTAGTTGCCGTTACAATTGGCCATCACTAAACCATCTATGGTCGGGTCAGTAATAGTCGGTGACAGTGATATGGTCGGCGGGTTTGCTTACTTTTTGTTCAAAATGGATTGAGACGAAGTATAAATACGTATTCTTTTGCGCGCACAATTAATTACTACCTCACAGCTTTTCATGTAACCCGAAGGTTGCCTGGAAGAGATTGCTATATAGCAATAAGGCCACCTGTTGAATATGTGTTTTTATTTTTGGTATTATTTTGTATTTGCCCCAGTGTGCAATGTAGATTATGTATTGTAACAAAATATCAACTAGTTATTGATAGAGACTAACATCTTTTACTCACCTTATTTCTTTGTTATGTATACGAATATGTATGGAGAGGTTGCCCGATGTAGCAAAGGTCTTGGTGCACAGGTGGCACGAGTAAGGCTTCTCACCATTGTGGATCCGCTGATGCACTTTTAGATCCGCTTTTATAGGAAAACCTGCAAGTTAATAAAAATTACAAATGACATTTTACCCTAATCAACAATTGCCATTAGTGTACGTACGCGTAGCAACCACGAAAGAAAAAAAATTATAATGGAAGGTCTTAATCGATTACTATGAGAATAGCTGTCGTCAAAATTCACACTATCATAATTGTAAACACTATAAAATCTTGATAATGATTGGTCGGAACAAATTCTGGGCTGTTAATATAATTTAAACTTTACCCAGTTGGTATATCATTGAAAGTTGCCTACTATTGCAAGTTACGACGTTTTGATTCTATATTGAAATTTCATTCAAAGCGCTGGCATCTAGCGGCAATAGCTGAAAGATGACGAACGATTAACGCCTATTAACGTTCTCCAAAAAAAGTTGGCCATAATGCAGCTGTATAAAGTTTACTTTAGTTTCTTATAACAAAATATCTATACGATAACAGAAAATGGAATATTTATTAAAATGAATAAGACTTAACGATGAAACACCACCATGGACAATCTTACAAAAATGCTACTAACATTTTTGCACTCCAAACTAGCAAAGGCATTTTTCCACGATTTTCGAGGTTCCAAAACCAAACCAAAACGTACAAATCGGTAATGGCGGACGGAGCTCAATTATGTGGAACTTTGTGTACTGTTGGCACACGTGCCACAACCACTATGCAATTCTACTGTATTTATTATTCTGTAGTGACAACAATAACTACCTTTCCCACAATCTTGACAGAGAAACGGTTTGTCGCCCTTATGTCTCTTCATGTGAATTGACAATTGTGCACTCTGGACAAATGTTTTGAAGCAAATATCACAGCCATACTGCTTTTCTCCTGTAAGACAAAACAATTTTGAGACCATACAAGATTCCAGTTTAACAAACAACTTACCTCTCGCGGCAATTACATATCGCACTACAAAGAATGCCGCCGACTAGGATATTGGATCAATCATAAGTAAGTTATTACTAGGGATATTCGTTGAACATCGATGTGTCCAATCCATTCGATGCTTAACGTACAATACATCGGACTGATTCGATGTTTTGATAATAAGAAATTCTATTCGATGCATCGATTTTTTTAATAGAAACGTCGAATCATAGAAAACACTAACTCTGACGTGGCGGTGTTTCAATTTGATATTGTAAGTCATTTAGTGTTTGTTTTATTTGTATTTATAATACTATCGTATTTCATTTTTCTGTGAACGAATAATTGAATATGTATCGAAGTTCTTTGTGTATTTTGGGCAGTTTACCTAATCGTAAAAAAACATTCCTACAAGGAATTATTCTTACGTAAAATATTTATATTAATTTGCAGTTTCTTTTTACTGTCTTGCCGATACTGTGGCATCGGCTATTTTCTTTTAAGTTCCTAGCTTCTCTTGACCAGTACTACTAAACTAACACACAGCATCATAAAATTAAACAAGTCACTACAGCGACAGCACTACCCTGTTGATATAGTGTTACTCTACGTTCACTGTTAAGCTAAGAAAAAAGGTATTCGATGCTGAAAAAAACATCGATGTTTTTAAGCGATGCATAGAAAAACATCGATGTGTTTAAGGGATGCATTGAAAAACATAGATGTTTTTAAGCGAGGCATCGAAAAACATCGATGCAAGGCTTCTATGTTTTACATCGAATGAACACATCGATGTATTTTCTAAGTGGACACCCCTAGTTATTACCAATGGTCAGAAAAAAGTGTGCCACATAATGTATAGATACATACATAGATATAGCCACAAGGAACTACTTTAGATGTTAAAACCAACTTATTAATTACTTTTTGGAATTCCCGATTTCCGGAAATGATTTTACTGCACCGTAGGACATACTACTAACATAGGAAGTCGAAGCTGGAATTTAAAGTAATTCATTCTAATGCGAGGAGAAGGACCTTTCTCGTTACTTTTTGTTCTCTGCTTCGGTAAATATCAGTTATGTACTGTAGTACAGGCAGCTTAGGTTTTGTATTTAGAATTATATGAATAATAGAGTGTTGATGTAAAACAGACATCTAGGAGTTTATGGTATAATCGTCGTTAATATTTATAAAGTACCGCTTGCCACGCAAGCCCAAGCTACGTTCCCATGCTATAGTACTGTGTTTTTTACATGGCGCCATTACAATTACTTTAAAATCCAACTTCAACTTCCTAGATCAATAGTTTTGTCTTACGATGCAGTAAAACCATTTCCGAAAATCCGGAATTCGAAAGAATAATTATTTAATATTTGGTAGTTTTAACATCTCTCAGTCGCTCCTTGTAGCTATATCTAATACATGTATCTATATATCGCGCTTAGCAAACAACACCGCTCAAGTAACTTGGAGCAATTTCAAAGGAGAGTGAAAAACTGCACTTATATTATTACATACAAGCTTTTCTAATCTATTATCGGTAATAAGTGATCTATTTATGGATAACACATAATAGTATATGAGTTTACGTTTTACTTCGAGTAACGTTCAAAAGTAAAAATCGTCAATTTTCCACTTTAGAGTTGTTGACTGCTAAGCGAGTACATGTGGAACACCTTTTTCTGAAAATTGGTTATTATACAGTATTAGAAGCGGCACTGGACTCCACGCACTTTGTATATTTAAACTACACACTGATGAGGCAAAATAAGAAGAAACTTTGGCAGAATTGAGACAATAAATTGGTCTCATTAGCCATTCATTAAGGAAAAAAAAAAGAAACTAATTGAATAAATAAGAAACATCTTTCTGCGGAGTTTAGGTCTCTCTTAGGGCGCTAATTTACCTGTATGCATTCTAATGTGGTTAACAAGACCAGATCGACGGCTGAACTGCTTGGGGCAATATTGACAGTGATATGGCGTCTCGCCAGTGTGCACTTTCTTGTGTTGAAATAACGCACTATGGCCTCTGGAAATAACAAATTTTACCTGGTATATACGTCCCTAGCATTGCGAAATTTGTGATGTAATTAAAAAAGTTACAAACAACAAATAATAACAATAATAATAACGCACACACACATAGCCTGGGAAATCCTGTATTGCGGGTGGCATGAACACATAGGTAGACGACCACAAATTCCACCAAAACTCACGAGAGAAATAAATGTAGGCCATACAAATATTTCTCCCGGCCCGGGAATCGAACCCGGGACCTCTGCGTGGCAGTCCAGCGTGGTAACCGTTCGGCCACGGAAGCAGTTAAAAATCAATGACGATAATAACAAACGGTAGTACATTTTTTCACGATTGACTACAATGTAGTATGACTACAATACATGCATACCCGAGTTGGTTAGCCACCCGAGCTTTAGCGAGCTTCTATAACTCCGAGCATTTATATTGGTTTTAAGTCTTGATATGAAAACTTTACTATTCGGTTCGATTGTGAGAAAAAACCTATTTATTTCAAACAAAACTTGTTTTTGTGATTATTTTTAAGTGTTTAGTGTTTATTAACGTAGTGGAACTGATGATGGACACCAATAAACATCGTACACTAATAATTCTTTTTTATTAAGTCTGTTGAATGTCAAGATGATTCGCCACCAATAATTCCAATTACTTTTTGTGAATTACTTCACTATCTCTAGCCTAATTCGATGTAGAATGTTTAACAACAAAACGTTGCTAGGTAGCCAATGTTGGCATAGGGAAAGAACATTTTTCAATGCTCATTATTAAGGGTCGTATTCCAGAACTCTACTCAATGCTCAAGTAAGGATTTGAGCAGACTTGAGTATGATTTCAAGCATTGGAAATACGACTCTAATGGCAGGGACTTGAGTATGATTTCGAGTGCTTTAAACCATACTCAAATCCTGACTTGAGCATTGAGTAGATTTCTAGAATACGACCCTAAGACTTGCTCTGCCCACGGCCTGCTCCCTTAATTGGAATTTAAATAGGTAAGTGGGTAATTGGGTTATGTAAAAGTAATACTTACCTAGTCAATTGTCAAAAAGTATACAAAATACCTATTGATACGTATGATTTACGAATAAAAATATGTGTTTGCATCGTATTAATATTTACTGCTAGATGGCAAGTAATGGTAGATGAAAAGAAACAAAATTGTAAGATTTTATTTGATATTAATTTACCACATATTATATCATCCAGCATCTTTTTCCGATTCTGATCTTGAATTACCACCAGAACTCGAATGTTTGCAATCTCTGCCTTCAAATCAAAATGTCAATAGGGATGACACAGTTTTACAAATAATTAATTACTGGTAATTTTTATGTCATTTTTAGGTGATTTGAGACTTCTGTTGAACAATATTTACTATAAACACGGCTTCAAGATTTAGTATTATCCATAATCTATTAAAATATTGAAATTGTGGTAACTGTGAAAGAGCCTGCGATGAAAACCCTGAAAATCATATGTTTTTGTTTGTTGACATTTATTCTACATCGAATTTGGGTAGAGTATAGTTTGTTCCACGGCAGAAAAGTTTTATTTATTTTTATTTATTTATTTATTTAATAAGGCTTACCAACTAAATACATACAGGTACGTTACAAAAGAAACCATTATATATATAAAAATACTATGCATGCATTTAAATTAAAGGTATGCACAACATTATACATAAAGGTATTATTTTATCGGCACTAAAGTTTGACAAGATTGAAGAACAATACTACACTGACTATTAAATTGAAATAAATTTGAATGAATTTAAAGCCCCAAAGAGCTTGAATTATTACAAATATTGATGACAGTGATAATTGGGCAACATGAAACAACGAGGTACAGCTAATTTACTCAACCATTAAAATAATACTTTTGGACAGCAGACCTAAAGCCATGAAATTTATCTCCAAAAATATCCAGTTCACAATTTTGAAATACTTCATTGTAACTTCTCATAATGGCGCAAAGCGGAGACATACTACCGTAATTGTTTTTTCTCATTTCCATTGTAAGAGGTTTGTAATTATGCAGTCTAGCCGACAGTCTTGGTGTTTTTAAGTTTATTTGATCCAGGAGAGACGGACAATCTATGTCATGATTTACAAGTTTGTACAAAAAATTTAATGCCAGTTGCTCCTTCCTATATTTTAATGATAGTATATTAAAATGAGTTAATCTATCACTATAGTTTCTGACTTTACGGTAAATGCCATCCATATATGCAACCCTGTTAAGAAACCTCCTCTGAATTTTCTCAATACGACAAATATTATTTTGATACGATGGATAAGTTGTTAAAAACCGAAACAAAGATCTGCAGCATGCACAGTTCAATTCGTAAGGTGAGATGGTTCGTTCCGTGGCTTAGTTGGCATAGCGTCTGCCACGGTTTACTAGAAGACGTGGGTTCGCATTCAGACGGATAGAAGGCATTTAGTAGCAGTAGAGCTCCTTGCGAAAGTGTTCGTCCAGGGAATTAATGAATGAATGAAATATTCTTTATTGCACATTAAATTACAGTTAAAATACAATACAGTAACTGTGGTATAAAGATAGTAAGATAATGTGTAACAGGCGGCGTTAGGATAGAAATATCCATACAAAAATTATTAATACATAATAATACATAATAAACAAATAGTAATATTAAATGCTTATATACTTTAAAAAGAAAAAGAAAAATGAACTATAAATATGGGAAATAAGTGAAAGGATAGAGAAAAATACAAAACTTAGGAGTTGAGGAAGTGATCCGTGACACGTCATTTGAAGGAATCAAGAGAACCGTGAATCGATTCAGGGAGAGAATTCCACAGTCTAAGCGCAGATCGATAAAATAGTTGGAATAAAAATTAGAGGTATGGGATGTTTAGTAAGAGAGTATCAAAGGAGCGAAGGGGATGGCAGAGTGTAGAAGAGTGGAAAGTATAGCGATCTTTGAGATAAGAAGGCGTAAAGGGACAGAATAGAATTGAGTAAAGAAGGGAAAGAATATGAAGATCTCTACGCTGGTGGATGGGTAGCCATTGCAGTTGTGCACGAAATTGGGAAACGTGGTCAAATTTACGAAGTCCGAAAATGAACCTCACACACATTTTTTGGAGCCGTTCCAATTTATTGAGCAGGGCGACTGACAAATCCGGGTAGCAAACATCTGCGTAGTCCAGTACCGGATGGAGAATGCTCAGGGCCGAAGTAATTTTAGTTTCAGTCGGCAAAAAGATTTTTAGCTTTCTTAAAGAAAAATGCGCAGCAAACACCTTCCTGCTAACCTCAGCAACGTACGGCTTCCAAGTCAGACATTTATTAAAAATTACCCCCAAATTCTAGACTGTGTCCAAAAAATGAATTCGGACCTTGCCTATTTCTGCCGCCAAGCAGTAATGTCAGCATTACTGTGTTCCGGTTTTAAAGGGTAAGGGTGCTGGTGATTTCGCAGGCACATGAACTTGTCAATTTACGTCACAGGGCGACGGGTGCAATGGCAGTGCCCTTCAGATCTTTGCGATTTAGAGCCTGAGTGGCACTGCAACTGTTATGGACAGGCGTGTAGCTTACCATCCGGTGCACAACTTGATCGTCCCGTCACTTGATATTATGTGAAAAAAGAAAAAAGAAAAGCAATGACAGTGCTGTACAGAGCTTTAAATCGCAAAACCTCCGTCCGTCACCCAGATCCCTTGTGTCTGTAATTTCACCAGCCCCCTTACCCATCAAACCCGAAACTCAGTAATGCTGACATTACTGTTTGGCGGCAGAAATAGGTACGTAGGCAGTACTTTCATGGACGAGCTAGAAAAGGTTGTAAACCCTAATGAGCCGTGACCAGATCACGGCAATAAAATAAGAAAACTTCAGGTCCACGGAAATTTATTAAGTTATTGGTAAAGAGAAAAAAGAGGCTGTAACAAAAAAGGTACAAAAAAACAGGTACAATACCACAAAAACACTCCCTAACTTAATTACATTCGGATATGCTTATGGCTGAATATAAAGTAGACACACCCCAAAAGGGCCGAGTTATACTGAATTAAGATTGATATTAATATTGGCACATGATTAGTAGTAGTTATTACAAGTCTGGTAAAGGAATCAAAATTAGATGCAATGGAAATTGAAACAGCACTGTACGCTGCCGCGATCGAGCACGGGGATGACGATGTAAGGAGTGAAGGATGTGTGTCACATCGTCATGAGCTCTTTCACAAGGATCTCTACTGCTCTCGAAAACGGACTTTATAATATATAATATATATATTATTTATAATATATTAACATATATAAGTATTATAGAAAGCATCATTGGAAATGAAAACGCTAGACGCTTCATTTGTATGTTGCGTACAATTTTGAATGTTTAGTAGTAACGTATGTAGCCCTTGGAAAATGTGAGAACTCCCTAACCAACCCGCATCCCAAACAGTCTCTGGAAACAGAGACCAGCATCCTGCAGTGTGAACATCCGATACTTGCAACTTACAACAATTATTCCAAGTTTATTGAAAAAATTCCTTCGATCCAGCTGGATTCGAACCAATGTCTATCAGCAAACCGTGTCAGACGCTATTCCAACTAAGCCACTTCTTTTACTATGTACTTCTTCTATGTGCTTCTTGCAGATGTTTGTATTGTTTTTTTTTGCTGTAGCGCCACGGGTTGCTTTATGTCCTTTAGGTTCCTCTATTAGTCTTCATCAGGAATATTTTCTCAATAATTAGTATTTATTTGCCTGTGACATAAGCTGCATGAAGTCCTTATGCGACCACCACAACCGCACACATAACAGTACAACATTTGTAGTCATTATATTTAGTTTTTTTTGCTTTTTGTTTCTTTTGTCTTATTTTATTTTATTTTTTTAAATATTTTAATTTTGTTTTGCGTTTTTTAAGTGGTATATCAATATTTTTTTTTAATTATCTATGTGTTGTGGCGTTGCAATAAATGTCTACTCTATTCTGTTTGCTTACCTAAATGATGCTGGACACTCTGTACACTTATAAGGCCGAAGATCTGTGTGACAAATTTTGTGCGCCTTCAGGTTACTTTTAGTGCTGAGAAACTTCCCACATATGTCACACTGGTGCGGAAGCTTACTTTCTGGCAAAGACATCTCTCCTTCTACAAATTCTGAAAATCCAAAGACAATAATTACTTTTTGACAATAACACAACTGGCTTGCTTTTCGGCAATCTTATTACAAATTAAACTCACCTTTTTTCTTTCTCCCTCTCTTCTTTTTGGGTTTTTCTTCTTCATCTATGACAAAACGACAAATTTTGTTAAATAAAATTGCTTTTCAAAACCCTGGATATAAAAGTGCAATTTCTCATTAAGGGTATTTTCAGTTTGTCTTGTTTAAGCATCTATCAGAAAGCTGGCAGCGACTTCCTCCATAATAGATTTTTGTTACTTGAACTCACCTAGGGCAGCACCCCGTGATTTCCCTTTTATCTAAACGTAATTATCAAAAGGAGAAATGTTGCCAACTTTTTTATTAAATACAAGTGATAAGTTCCTGCTGTCTTAAAACACTTTTGAGAGCCACTGTTAACGCTGTTGAACCAGTTCCTGAGGGGTGAGGGCTGAGGAGCGAGGCAAGCGCACCTTACCGCAGTCCGGAACCGGCCACCACGCCGTTCTTACTTATGAATTAACACAATTTTTAATGCACCAAAAACTACGTCATTGCAAAGTATATACATGAAGCAGGAGTTTTACTTGAAAATGTTAGAAACCCTCAGCTGAGCTGTTCGTCAAAAAACAGCCTGGACAACCCACTACCACAACACTTACTGCCAATCTCATCATAAATATCAATCCAAGCACATCGTAAATATGATCAATACTCGTTCAGGTTAGAAAGGTAAACCAGAATTGTGGTCTAATCTTGGCTGTGGATTTAGCTGAATAGGGTACTTTTGTTTGTCCATTTTATTTGTAATAAATTTATGTTTACCAAGTGCAGTTGTTTTCCATTACAATAAATCCATTCAGAAATGCTTTCTAAATTATCAGGGAAACTAAAAAATTAGGAGTTACGTTTTAATTTCCTCTTCAGCTCTATTCTTGTGACCAAGATGTTGTCATCTTCAGCATCCCAGCTCTCATTCATGTCATTACCGTCATCGAGGCACCCAGGCTCTACAACAACAATCACACACCAAATAATGTTCATAATATGGTAGCTTTAAAAAACAAGAAAAGTTTTTAAAACTGTACAGCATTAAATTACCAAGTTTAATATCTTCCTTAGTGTCATTATTCTGTGTTTTTAAAAGGGAGGCAATCAAGTCTGTACTTTGGTCCTTGACAATTCCTTCTGCTGCACTCTGCTCCTCACTCTTAATTATGTTATTGACATCTTTATTGAGTGTGACATCACAGTTAGAATCTTCTTCAAAAACAGTCACTAGTTTCTGGGGCTTATCCACATGTTGCCTCAATTTGCAGTCACTCTCTTCACATTTGATGTTAAAGGTGTAGCACCGTTTCAATTGCCTGCAGCATTCCTTGCAGATTTTCCTTGGAAGACCATCATCTTGGTTGGGCTGAAAATATATACTTACAATTTGTAACAACTTAGAACATAAATCGAGTTCTTAGGTTTTCGCGATTGTTACACATAGGAAATGAAACTATTTTTCCGGATTTAAATTGCGTATATTTGTTTTTCAAACAAACCGACGTTACGACCTGTAAAGGGCCCGAAACGTCGGTTTGTTTGAAAAAACAAATATACGCGATTTAAATCCGGAAAAATAGTTTCATTTCCTATTAGAACATAAATTCGCACTGTTGATACTGTTAAATCAAAAAGTGTCTTTTCTCAGAATCGATGAAAAACAAATTATCCACGTCCCGTGAAAATCATTAAAATTTAGGCATAATTTAAGGTTGTGTAATAACACAAATCTAAACAATTTCGCACTTGCACAAATACATTTAAAAATAAAAGGGAAAAAATAATAACATATTTTTTAATAAGGACTGCTTCGACCTGTACTAGGTTACATAAATTGTGCCTTGTTTTGAGTTAAGTAGATACATTTGATGTTTTTCACAAAATTCTAACGACGGTTTTAATGACATGTAGAGAATCAAATATTATGTTCAATAATGATAATCTTGAATTTCATGTATTTTGAGTTACAACACTACCTTAATAGCATTATGATATTATGTTTTGCAATTAGTGCTACACAACTGTGCAGTGGCTGTGTCAAGGTAAGTCGCTATAGCTATACTAATTACGATACTTAATAATGTGGTCATGTGGAATAACTATTTTGAAAAAGACTGATTAGCTTGATTTATTGGAATTAGTTTTTTCTTCGCAGTAAATTTCTAGTTACTCTACAAGTACGTACCTTTAATTTAGTGCAGCTGGATATCATATCCGCGTACGACATCTTCCTTTTCACATAATAAGAGGTAAAAATATCTAATGTTAGTTTATACGACTGAAGGCAAAGTCGGCAGATTTCAGAGAGATTCGTCGCCATAATTTGCTAGGTAACATGAAGGCACAGCACAAAACATAGATCATCAAAGAATATGACTAATATTAATTTAATTTGTTTTACAGTATTTATTAAAATTTACGATTTCTTAATGTTAGACTAAAATAACAATGGTAAACTATACATGCATGCACTTGAACCTTCCTTTGACACTTGATTAACTGACACTGACAGTCAGACGAAGTTCGGTGTTTGTGTTCACCGGTTTTTAATATTATAAGATAGAATGTTGGTCGTTTATGAAACAAAATCCAAAATAAAGTGAAGGGTATTAAGTCACTAGACTAATTTCAGACTTAGGGTCGTATTCTAGAACTCTACTCAATGCTCAAGTCAGGATTACACTGGAAACACAAGCACTGGAAATACGACCCTAATGGCAGGGACTTGAGTATGATTTCGAGTGCTTTAAACCATACTCAAATCCTGACTTGAGCATTGAATAGAGTTCTGGAATACGATCCTTAGGCTCAACCATGGCTTAACTGCGCTTAAGTGACGTGCGGCGAAATGATTTTGATGTTTTTTTTTGGAAAAAGGGTACCTTAGTTTTCACCATCACCATCAGCTTACACGTATCCACTGCTGGACATAAGCCTCCCCTAGAGCATGCCAACTTTCCCGGACTTCTCCATCGGCGATCAACCCTCCTGCAGCAATACCCAGCCCACTGCTACTTCTCACTTTAGTTCTCTGACGTATGACCTCGTTAGGGATTCGGTCCATCAGAGAATCCCCATAAACTCATCCACGTCGATGTCGGGAAGTTAATTTGGCTCTTGGATCGTTAAGTATCTCTGGTCTGGGTCGTTTCTGGGCATATAAGTCCGTATAAAATTATTCAACCACCGCGAGTACTTCTGGTTTAGAGGTGACCGTGTTTCCTTGAGCTGTTGACAGCTTTGTCAGGTGACAACTAGTGGCGGAAGATTTTGCGAAGACTTTAGAGCCTTTGTTATTTTCTATGGCTTAATGAATAGTCTTCGCATTGTACAGGCGGATGTCATGCTGTATACATTTATTTACCTCTTTGTCAAGTACTTGAAGCTCCGATGCGGTAGCATTAACAGCTTCATGTCTTTCCCTCATTACTTCTAGAGTCTCGCGGGAGAGCTTCGACTTTCGTCCATTGCTTATTTGTCGAAAGTGCTTGTATCTTACATCTCGGATGATCCTCATCAAGTTATTAGTGGCGTCGTTGATGTCATCAGTGGTTTCCAGCAGCACAAAACGATTCTGCAGGTCTATTTGAAAGTTTTCGGTTCCAACTTCGGTCTAGAGCAGTGTTGGTCGACGAGTCGACCTCATCAAACGAGCTCGTTCGAGTCGGATGTTAATATTCAGAGTGCCTCGTACCATCCGGTGATCACTACCTGTATTGAACCTTTTGATCACTGAGACATCTCTGAATATATATAACTTGTCAGTTAAGATGAAGTTGATCTCATTTTTCATCCTTCCATCAGGGCTCTCTCACATCCATTTTCTTCAGGGCTTCTTTTGGAAAAAGGAATTCATCGTGAAGAGTCCTAAGACCTACTCTCGAGTCGTGGCATCCTCGTACTCCCACTTTCACGTTGAAGTCACCGATTACCACGCTGAAATGTGTTTTGTTACGTTTTGCTAACTTTGGCTATGTCTTCGTACATAGTTTCGACCTCTCGTCAGAGTGCGCGGACGTCGGAGCAGATACTTGTACAACCTTCAAGGAGTACCTCTTGGTTATTTTCAATACAAGGTACGCCCTCGCTGACACGCTTCCGATCTCCACAACATTGTCAACAAGTGACTTATTGACGACAAAACCGATACCACCCAAAGAAAGTTGGTCTCCCTCTCTGAAGTAGAGCAAGTGACCTGACTCGAGAGTCGATCGACGATAGAAGATCGTCTCCTCGCCCTGTCTTCGGACTTCAGATAATCCTACGACGTCCCATTTGATACGACTTTGCTTTTCTTCGAGTTCCGCGATATGCTCGTCCAGCCGCAGCGTGCATCCATTATACGTAGCCAGATTCAATTAATTGCGGCAGCCATCCTTAGCCCGAGGATTTTTAGCACCCCCCACCCCGCCGTTACCATGGCCGCCACCGTGGTGACCAGGAATTGGGGACTACCGGGAACTGGGGGCCATTTTGATGTTATAGTGCTGCGCATTTAGAGGTAATGTAGGGCATTTGACCAGCAGTCACCGCGCTAAGCAGGCGTGTTGCTGACCGCAGCTTGAAATTTATTTCTGCGGTAATGCTGCTGCTCACTACCGTTTAAGCTATTTTATAGGTCCCGAGTTTATGAAATGGTTATACCGCCATTTATCGGTCGCCAGAGCCTTGCTCGTTGACTAGCAGGATGCACCACGAGCAGGTGAGGTTGACTGTAGGGGAGTCTATAAGAATAGTAGTCGATCTCCCCGTTGCACCTCAGTTTAGGTCCCATTTAAATTTGAAGAAAACATTCCAACTCTAAAAGTAGTAAACTAGGTAATGAATTCGGTTACGTGCACTTTCGTTTAACCGTTTTCAATAAAACTTGGCAAATAGAAGTAATTATTAATATTATAAAGATCGACTCAGAAAAAATCTTTCGGTCCGGCCGGATTCGAACCGACGCACGTCTTCTAGCATACCGTGCCAGACGCTATACCAATTAAGCCACGGAACGTACCAACGGATCTCACGAATTTTTCTATGTACTTGCGTCGTACATTTGTATTTCGTTTTTCAACGACTTTTTAGCCGTAGCGCCATCTATGAGAAATCTATATTTCGTCACCCAGTTAGATGCTTTTACAGCTACCAGCCCCGGCCAGAGATGTCGCTATCCATTGTATTTTAATTGAAATTATTATATATTTATTTAATTTTATTGAATTGATATTCAATGTTTTTTTGTTAATAATGTATAACAAACTAGTGGAGTAATTTGACATAAAAATAATTGGATATCGATTCAATAAAAAATTAAATAGAAGTAATTCCAATAGCAACGCCGGTAGGGATACTAACTATAAGGTCGGATTTTTTTAATAAAAAAGACACACTCACCACACAAACGTGATGTTGGGTAAATATCCGAAAAATTTCAAATAGTGGAAAATTTTCCGGATTTTTTTTTAAATAGGAAAGGTTCATCTTATTTCCTTCGTCTAGAAGTATCATTTTAAGCTTTATTTAACGTCAATTATAAAATTAAATTATTCGTTGTCTAGCTAAAAGCAAGATAAAGAAAAATGAGGTTTGAAATGATTAGACAACAGCGAAAAAGAAAATCGTAGGCGAAAAACAATCTTTATATTGGCTCAATCGTTTTCGTTTAGTATTTTGGGGAATTTATCGCTCCCCTAGCGAACAATAAAACGGCCTCGTGAACTTCGTGAATGGCGACATAATTATAAAGTTTCGTTTTCGTGGTTTTTACAAAATGCTTTGTATCAAACCGGGCAAACAATTTGCAATCCTGACATGACAATTTTCGTAACTGTAAACTGTCAGACATTTACGGCCAGCCGGTGATAATATGTGGCGTCTAAAGCCGACACACCCATTTATTAATGGACACACCATCTATCTTCAACTTTTGACAGGTGGAAAAAGTATTTATTTTTCTGAAAAATAGGAATTTTTCCAAATATACATTTTTCCATGAACACTACACACACAATATACTTCTTTCTGCCTACTGGGCTTTATACCTACATACAGTTATTTGTGCGAATGTGAAGTTGATATGAGAGGCCTAGATCACTAGATCGTAGGTTAATGACTAGATCACTTGTTTTCCTTTTTTTGAGTTGACCACTCTATCCGTGTATTTGCTTCCTTACGTCTGTTCCCACATTTTATTATATAAAATAACTATTATATTTCAAAGAAGTCTATAATATTTTAACGCAACTCTATGGCTTTCATCTATAGCCATTGAAGTCTAGTGCCATTAAAAAAAAAATAGAAAGAAACAAGTCGGGGGGACAAAAAATTTTTCTATTGAGTAAAATAAAATGGTAGAGAAACTACTTAACGAGAGTATAATATTTAAAAAAATATAATTATTGTAATTTATTGGAAGCTCCAATATTATCGGTTACCCTATTGAGGTATGTCTGCACTACAGAAGACCATCATGAAGAATAAAATGCCTCCACGCTGTCCCAGGACATCAGGTGTCCCTAAGTAAGTTCCAGTAGAGTCTTGTGGTTTTTTATTTATATAAAATATCTAGCCCAAATAGATGGGCCTGACCAATAGGATTGTGTCCATTTGCTATATATTTAATACAAGTACATGTTGTATGCAAAATTTGTATATGAAGTCGATCCATGAACATGTCTTCACAATAAAGACACAGACACATAAATGAACAAAGGATTTGGATAATCGTTTTCCGTTTTGGATAGACTGGCGCCGTTCGGAGTGTCGCGCCGCAAGGATTATACGCCGGTATCGTGGCGCCAGTACTTCGAGAAGTTCATCGATGTAGAGACCGACGGTGGAACATTTCGGGTGTATCTGTCTCCTGAGCCCAAGAATCCAAACCACCCAAGGATAGTAACACTTCATGGAGGCGGCTACTCTGGTTTAAGCTGGGCTTTGTTCACTGTAAGTGGTTTGTATAGATATTTTTCATGTCACGGGCAATTTAAATTGGAACAAGTTGTTACAAAATATGACTATTGGTTTACTTAAATAGCTGTGATAGTTAATAATTTAACCATAGCTGTGGCAAATGAGGCATATTTGAATATTTGAAACTTATGACACATTGTAGGATGTATACGGGAAATGTGATTAACACATCAATTTAAAAAAATCAAATCTTTTATTATCAGACATCACTTCAACTTTTGTGTCTATGGCTCCGTCGTTTTGCGCGACGATTTTGCCAATGTCAGGGTTGAAAGACATGTGGAGCGGTGGTGAGATAGATTGCCGGTTATTAAATTACTTCGGCGGTTTTTATTCACAATGACGGTTATATATATATTTTAATGACATTGCAAAAATATAATTTGAGAGCTCATGTTATTTTCTTTCTTTTAGAAACATTGTAGGAAGTTTATTTAGCGGGAAATAAAAAATAAAATTGTTTAGTAAAACAAAGTTAGGCATCGTTTTCGTTCAGTAACAAACTTTTGACCGGTGTCAGCGTGGAAAATTATCATGGAGGATGGATAAAGAAATAAAATTATACGAAAGATAATGGGAGAATACGGGAAGAATGAAGAATATTCATTTTTCTTAAAAATTAAGACTGATCAGAAATGAGAATTTTTCTCCGACTCACATTGTTGGGGTAATTGTAACCTTATACTATTCTAAATGAAAACGAATAAACCTTAACAATTATCATATTATTGTTTTATAAAACTTTTGAATTAGAATTTTGAATTTTTGAATTTTGGTATGGTGTAACAGGCTGTTGTCCGCAACTCGACATCTATGCGCCTATTTTACATGTGGTGGGTGCAGGGTTCTACTCGTGCCACCCACCACTGAAGTTTGCTGAAGACAGAAAGCGGCTTCGGCACTCCGAGGCACTTTGCCGTGTAGTTGACTTCACTGTAGTAGTAGTAGTAGGATGTATGCGGCCGTTACCTCCTCTTCCAAGCATGCTCTGCATAGAGGGCTGTACATGATACCTAGACTAAAAAGGTGTTTATTACACGGACCAAGACCCGTTAAGGTGGCTGTCGGAATGCACAGCTCTTTCCTTTTGAGCTTAATAAATTTACAAGATTTACTGGTGTTTATCTACGAATGGTGTAGGAGTTGTTATGAAACATATTTGTCCCTGTGTGTATAGTTGCTCTTGATTATTGGTAGGGGAGTGATATACTCTCTAATCCTACAGCGTCAATCTCCGACCCTTGTCTCGCCAGTTCGTCTGCTACGCGAGGTTGCTTGCCATAATGTAAAATATATAATATATTGTGTAATGTATTGTGAAATTATTAATTGCCAGAAGCGAATTTGCTTGCGTTCCTGAACAAGGTTTCAGACTTTTTAATGCTCATTTGTCTTAGTTTTGACACTCAACATGAAACAATCAAAGTTAATTTATACAAATCAAACTTTATTAGCATTATATATTATTATACGAGGGTCAAACTGAAAGTTCTTAGAAAATTAAAAACTGATTACATTAGCCAGTTATTAGTTTTATTATATCTTTTCAAAATATTGTCCATTCACGTCAATACACCGCTGCATGCGATGGAAACACTGGGAAAAGCACTTTGCCCACTCGTCCTTAGGGGTCTCTTCAATGGCATCGCGATACGCAGCCACCGCTTCTTCAGCATTCATAAACCGCTTTCCTTTAAGTTTTTCTTTAATTTTTGAAAATAAATAAAAATCACAAGGCGCGAGGTCGGGGCTATACGGCGGGTGACCCAATAATTCAACGTTTGATGTCGCCAAATAGTCGATCGTTCGCTTGGCGGTGTGCGACGAGGCGTTGTCGTGGTGAAGGAGGATCCTACTGCGAGGTCGTTTCTCTCGAACTTTTTCCAAGACAAGTGGCAAACAATTGGTAGTGTACCATTCTGCAGAAACTGTTTTTTGATCCTCTAACACAATTGTTGCGAAATGACCTATCCTTCCAAAGAACGAGGCCACCATTTTTTTCCCGCACTTCGATCTCTCTTCACTTTAGTTGGCAACTCCTCGAAAGGAAACACCCACTGAGCAGATTGTCTTTTGGTTTCAGGATCATAACAGTAAATCCAGCTTTCGTCACCTGTTAGTATGTCGAACACAGCATTTGAGTCACCTCCATTAAATCTTTCAATCATTTTACGGCACCAATCCACACGATGGAGTTTTTGAGCCTCAGTCAAATTATGAGGTATCCACCGGGCGCAAAGCTTCCTGACCGCTAACTGTTCGTGGAGGATTTTGTGCACTTGACTCATACCGATGCCTAAGCTTGTCCGAATCTGCTGATAGGTCACTCTTTTGTCAGTCTCTATCATACGCCGCACAACACAGATGTTATCTTCAGTCGTCGCCGTAGAAGGCCGTCCCTCACGTAAATCATCAGTGAGATTAGTGCGACCACGTTTAAACTCATTAAACCAGTTGTAAACAGTCGCACGAGATGGGGCTTCATCGTGAAAGGCCAATCGTAGTCTATCATAACTTTCTTGTTGACTTAAATGACATCGAAAGTCATAAAAAATCATTGCACGAAAATTTTCTCGTGTTAAATTCATGTTGAAGTGACACAGACAATTTTCAATTTGCCGCCAAATCGTAAAACAAATGACAAATGAATGAAATATATACTCAGTAATATTGGCAAAGAGTTCTATTTTCAAATTTAAGAATTATTTTTTTATTATATTGTTTATAAGTGGCCAGTTCTAAGAACTTTCAGTTTGACCCTCGTATATTGCTCAGAGCAGATTAAAATGTACTTTCATTTAATATATTTTATGTTTCGAAACAAAAAAAAAAGGATGAACCATTATAGAAGATGGCCGTTTAGACCTGCTTTTGCAAATTTAAAATGATCATTTAAACACGTGCCTTATAAAGCCTGTAACAAGCGAATGTAAATGTAGGTCTTGTTATGTCAATAATTGTGGATTCTTCTATCTTTACAAGACTCGGATGAATCAAAAGAGTTTGCACGTAATTCACACTGGGCAAATATTCCCCAAACAAACAAAGACAATAAAAGCTATTAAAATCTTGCAGTTTGGATCTGTTGGTCTTAGCTCCGAGTTGTAGATTAGTGGTGATTTGTACACAGTAGTATAGTCTATTCAAGTTAGCCACCTAGTATGGGCTCCTCTCTCTCGCACTTCTTCATGAAAATAATAAGGACGTAAGATGGAGGCACAAGATTAAGTGGCCGTTAACAAGCGTTACAATAACAAAGAGTCGTGCATAAGGGTGTTTAAAAAATGAAACAAAAATATTTTCTTATACATTTCTGCAATATTTTCTTTCAACAATCTCACATTTTACATCAGTCTTTGTCTTAAACCGAGTCACAGAGTAAGAAGGTATCAGTCCATTAAGAAAGCCTAAGTCGCAGGTAAAGAGTCACCGATAAGTAGCAAACAGAAAACAACACGGCACAGATGTGAAAGCCGACTAATTAACTTGCCATTATGAATGCGGCTTTAGTGACTTATCTCTAACCAATCACGTGCGGCTGTGTTTTCTCAGTACTAAGTCGCTAACTTGAATAGACGTTAGTAGCAGTAGAGGTCCTTGTGAAAAAGTTTGTCAAGGGAAGTACTGCCACCTTACCTGTTTCTACCGCCAAGCAGCAAGGTGAGCATTATTGCATTCCGGTTTGGAAGGGTTAAGCTTACGTCTCAGGGTGACGGGCACAGAAGCAGTGCCTCTCACATATTTGCGATTTAAAGCTCTGGGTGGCACCGCAACTGTTATGGATAGGCGAGTCGCTTACTTGTCTTCGTACTTCGTCCCGTCACTTGGATTGTAAAAAAAAAAACGTTAATTGATGGCAGTATTTGTTGGTAGGTCAATGGCAGCAGTATTTTTTTAATAATTTTTTTATATTACTCTTTATAGATATATTTTTTTCTAAATTGGCGAAACCACAGCTGCGCGTTTGAGTTACCGTGCAGCTTTAGCACGCTGCAGTACTAACATCGTTAGGGACATTGTCTCTTGAAAGTGTGGCAGGTTAATCAACTATTTTGGCAAGCTTATGAGAAATGATTTAGACTTCTCACCAGTGACAAGCACGCATCGAGTATATAATCAGAAATAAGGGTCTTACATTCCTGGTAACTCATCAGTGATACATCACTTATAAATATCAACTCTCGTTTGCGCTGAAATTACAAATTAGAAAGCTGAAGTAGTACAGCACCAACAACTGACCTGTGTGTACGCCTCTGTATATTCCAAAAATATTCTGTATTTATTGTAATAAAGATAATATCTCTAACAATGGTGTGGGGAAAAACAGCTAAACATCTAATTACAAAACAAACAGAATCAAATTTTATGGGTAATTAAGTATTAAATATGTAATTTTGCAATTTTCGTCCATTATAGCAAAGCTCAAGTTAGTTGGTCGATTGGCATCAATTGCTAAGAATCGGCTATTGTTTCAAATTCGGACTGGCCAATCGGAGCGCAATTGTCACAGTAAAATGATATGGCATAGTTAGTTAATAGTTTTCAAACAAATTAAATGACATTTCTCTATTTCTGGTTATATACTCGATGCAAGCATGTTATGAAACGTTAGTAGCAAACATAATTCCTGTTTATCCTCATTAAATTGTACAATTTTGCCCTTTTCAAATATAGCAATTATTCAGACTCCTCATGTTAGAGCTTACAAAATATTTATATTTATTTGTAGTCTTATTTTATACATCAATTTTACTATATACTTTATATGTATTAGTGTAACATCATTTACTTAATATTATGTATTTATATCTATGTTTGATATAATAAATTTATCAATTTGCAATTTGCCCTTGCAATTATTCAAGGGTTAGCTGGAAATAACCCTTTTATGGGATAACTTTGCCTTTGTACACTAACGTTATATTTTTTTTATGTTAAAAACTTATATGATAAAGTAACAAACACAAAATATTTGTACAATAAAGTGTTTACATACGTACGTACATTTTACAGGAGGAGATAACAAGCATGATAGACTGCCAGGTCATCTCTATGGACATCAGAGGCCATGGTGAAACAAAAGCAAAGAATCCTGATGACTTGAGTGCAGAGACGCTTGTCAGGTACGTTTGTTACTTGGTTTGGGCATTGCAACTCATAGCTTCCTTTGCATTTGTTTAGCTTACATTTTGATTAGGTTATAAAATGGTGAACGAAAGATGGAACATGATATAATGAGTATTCAATAATCTGTGGTATAATAGAATACGAATTTTTCCGCGATTAGGCGTGCAGAATTTCACTTAAAATTTATTTAATTATATTACTGGCGTTGGATATCACAAGAAATAATCAGTCAACAACAAAATAATAATTATCAATGTCAAACTATTAATACATACAAATTAAGCACTAGGAATTTCATGTCAACATTTTATCTAAAAAACACACACTTTGTAATAATTTTTGTGTTTCTGAATAAATTATTAAATTTTTAAATTGGGACTCACATACTATTGCATTGATTTTAGTAACAAGACAATCTGGGTTTTTTTGGTATATCAGTCCATTTTCTTACACGTCTACTATGTACATCCGTATTTTTTTTAAAGATTTGTAGGTTTTGCTTAACAAACCATGCCACGGCAAAATTCCCAAGTCTTTAAATAAAGGTGCACAAGATGAGTAGAAATTACAGGCTGTGGGATTACATATGGGACTTGTCAACTTATCCATCCATCCATCCATTGGTATTTCCAGAGTTGTTGGATTTCAGAATAGGAAACAAATAGTTCTTACTTGCCCATCTTGTCTCCCATTACGTACCAACAAGACGATGTCAACCATTGTAGTGTATGCCCCCTTCGGTATAATCGGTCTACTTTCCCGATCGGTCCACTTGTTTTTCCCCCTCCGGTAAAATCTCTCTACTTTCCCAATCGATCCATTCGTTTTTCCCGCTTCGATACAATCTGTCCACTTTCCCGATAAGTCTATTTCCAATTTCGTCTACTTTCCCGGTCGGTCTACTTTCACTATTCGTCTACTTTCCCGATCGGTCCACTTGTTTTTCCCGATTCGTCCATTTCCCGATCGGTCCACTTGTCCAAAAGCCCAAATAACCTTTTAAGCATGTAAGTTTAAATTTTACAAAAAAAAAAATCCTTTTTATAAACTTTCAAAGGTAACTTGTAATTGCAGATTGCCATGGAGTACATTTTTTATATTTTTGATAATGATGGCAACTTTCCGTTAACTATGATTTGAAAAAACAACATCAAGGACACAGTTAGTTATAAACCGACTTGAAAGAGGATGTTATCAATTCGACTATATTTTATTATGTACGCTCCGCGATAACTCCGACAATATGTGAATCGATTTTGATGATTCTTTTTTTTAAAGAGGGTACTTCATTAGTTAAATATTCCATCTCTAAGGGTAGAATCCGATTTCGCGCACTTTCCGGTAACCGCTGTCAATAAAACTTGGAAATAGGCGAGTCGGGAAAAACAAGTGGACCGATTGAGGAAGTAGACCAATTGTACCGAAGGGTGTGTGCTAGTGATAAAGAGACTCATGGTCGTCATCATACTCATGTCCCTGCCATTAGGGTCGTATTTCCAGTGCTTGAAATCATACTCAGATCCTGACTTGAGCATTGAGTAGAGTTCTGGAATACGGCCTTCAGTCCTTTAAGGCGTTTTATAACGACTCGACTCCATTTTACAGGCCTCGACTCTAAAATTAAGACTGGAGGTTCGAGCTTTTATGAATAAGTCGTTATACTAGACTCAAAAGACTTTACTTGAAAGACTTAAAGGACTCGAGTTGTTTGCAAAGGACTTATACGTATTTTATGTCTTATTAAACCCGAGGTTTATAAATAAAAATGACATAAGTAGTATGTAGTAAATAATCACGTTTATTTACTTATAATAAAAATCGTAAAATAAATACCTTGTGGGTAGAAATAAAATCACGCCATGCGGCTCATGACTCGCGACTCCCGAGACTGAGGCGCCAGTGGTTTTAGTCCTAATAAGTCTTTTAAGCTTCCTAGGGTTAAAAGACTTGGACTCAAATTAGTTTCAGTTTTAGTCTTATGACTCAAGACTTGAGAGTTAAAAGACTAGACTAGTCGTGAGGCGTTAAAATTAGTCGAGGTTTTTTAAAAGGCCTTAAAAGACTGAGTCTCTTTCATCACTAGTATGCCATCGATAAGAAGCACGATTCATTCTGATCTAGTGAGGGACTGTGGTAATTATAAAATTGCAATCAATCTGTCAAGTAAATTTGTTTATAAGTTGGTGCCGAATATGAGAAAAAAAAATATTTTTAGAGGGTCCAAAATATTCTTTTCAATTGACAGAGACGTGGATCTGGTGTTGCACAAGTTGTTCCCGGAGCAGATGCCTTGTCTGATCCTGGTGGGGCATTCGATGGGCGGCGCCATCGCCGTGCGGGCTGCACACCTGCCCTCGCTGCAGGACTACATCGAGGGGCTTGCTGTCATTGATGTTGTTGAAGGTAATGTTTACGTTATAAGCAGCAATCATCTTTAGCACAAGTTTTTTTTAAAGCGGCAGAGCTCATTTTCATTCCTTTACTCGAAATCGTCATTTTGATTAAACTCCTTTGCTCATTCGTAAGGCAGATTTCCTTGAGAAGAATGAGCAAGAAACTCTAGGGGTTGCTCTTTGTAACATTTGAATACATTTATCATTACGATATTTCATTTAAGAGGGAGCGGAGGAAAAATTCCTAATCTTCGTTTTGATTTTAGAGGGGTATATCCACTTTAAAGTTAAAAATAAAATATTGTATGAGTAACTACACGATATATTCAAGCATAGACATTAATCAGAAACATAAAACAATAAAGTTTCCTCGATAGATAAAAATCACGAAATGACCTGTAATTTTCACATTTTTTCGATTCATCCTCGAAATGCTACAGGTTATTAGGACAAAAATTAGATAATTAATTATATTTATGCATGATCGAGAACTGTCACTACGGATTTTTTTTTAATCCCTTTAGTTTTAGAGTTATTCAATTAAACGGGTCACTATTACGGGTTTTTGTCATCCAAGTACGCAGAAGCTATACTTAAAACCTATACTATAAAGTTTTTTCAAATTTTGAATATCAATCGGAATCTTATTATAAAAGCGTTTACATTACCCCTTAAATGAATCTGAGACTTTGTGAAGACGACTGCCAAGAACAGCGGGTCTATTTTTGTTCCTCTGTTCCATGTTATGTCTGTCACTACTTCTCATAAAAAAATTAACATAAATAACTTTTTCATAAATATACTGTGACGTTAGTGTAAGAATGTTAATCTCTTCAAAGTTATCTCTCTAAGACACTCTGCGGCCCAGATTGTAAATTGCCCTAAAAGCACGTGCTTGCAGGAAAAGATTCTATTAACCATCTTTATAACTTTATCTACAGGTACTGCAATGGAAGCCCTGGCGAGCATGCAAAGTTTTCTGCGTGGGAGGCCGACGCATTTCAAAAGTATACAACACGCCGTTGAGTGGTGGTGCGTGCCTTCTTCTAATCATAATCATTTCTATAAAGCCTTTTTACTTCTGTTATTTTACATTAATAATCATATTAACGTCCTACTTAACTCCCCAAGCTGCTTTGGTGATGTCGACTCCATGATTCTTGGCTTTTCAATAGAATATAGAAATATACTAAATAAAACTAACACATATGATGTTTGTCATATCAAGTTTAGTATTTGTTATTACTCTTTTTCAAGAATGTCACATTATTATTGAGGCTGGGTAATGAGAGATATCAGTTAGCTGTACGCGTTATTTTAAGTTCCTTGCATTTTTACCTTTGACACCATTTGAATTTTATTTATGTTTACTCAAAGATTGACCTCCATGTGTCATGGTAAAAAGTTGATACTAACAAGATGTTGTTTATGGCTATAATGTAATCTTGTTTCCATCCGAGTATATCAATCACAATGATTACAACAACAAACACAATGATTGCAACAGTGTTGTCAAAAATGATGTGATAGCTAAGAGCTGTATAAATTGTATATGATACTTACGTTCCTTATACTCATTTAATAATTTAGTTCATATGACTTAAAGCGCAGCATAGTGGGTCCCTATAATTTCATATATGACCGTATATTTCAATGTATCTATAACCCATATTGACGAATAAATATATTTAATTGAATTTAATTGAACAACAAGTACAATTATTGTAACAGCAAGCACAACGATTGCAACAACATGCACAATAATTGAAACAACAAGTACAATGATTGCAGCAACAAGCACAATGATTGCAAAAACAAACACAATGATTGTAACAACAAGCACAATGATTTCAACAACAATGAAACTAATTTTATCATTTTGTGATTGATCCAATTAAGAATTCACCAAACTAGCTTTTTTCTCTTTCTCATATCTCTTTTACATGTTTTTTTTTATATACAGTGTTCGCAGCGGTCAGGTGAGGAATGTCGAATCTGCCAAGGTTTCCATGCCCAGCCAGATTGTTAAGTAAGTATTGTTTATAGTTAATCGTATCATAAGCCGTGTCGGTGGTAGCTCAAATGACATTCTTCGCGTTGTGACTGGTAGGGTTGACTGCCTTCAACTTGAGGACTGTTTTTGTTTTTTTTTTATATTGGTAGATCTGATGGGACGCCATCCATAATTGTTTAACTATTATAATATTATGGACTGTATCTGTCTGAAACAAATGAAGTTTGATTTGATTTGTAACAATAGTGATGTCTCCTATTTATTTACGTAACTCATAGATATGTGTACACGGTTGTGTATGACAGTGACAAATTTCATTATGCCCAGTCACACAATAATAATCAGAGCCTCCACCACGAGTTAACTGTGACAGTAGTCGCTTACGACCGCGTAAATTACTTTCCAATTTAGTAGGACAAATTATACAGCGCCCTTAGCGGCCACAAAACAAAAAAAAATTGTATACAAACATTCTACGCGGTCACTAGCGATATTTGTCATTGTAATCTCATGGTAGAGCCACGGAAGACTTAGGGTCGCATTCCATAACTCTACTCAATGCTCAAGTCAGTAATTAAGTGTATACCTATTAGGAGCTTCGATAGTAGGTACTGGTTGAAACACGCCTTGACACCACAGCGTATTTTGCGAGACAAAAGAAAGAATACAGAGAAAAAACACTTGTACCTACTTACAGTGATTTCAAGCACTGGAAATACGACCCTAATGGCAGGGACTTGAGTATGATTTCTAGTGCCTTAAAATCATAGCATTTGTTAGTTCTGGAATACGACCCTAAGACTAGAAAAATATCCACCATCAGAAATATAATATCATTTTTTGGGTTTTCACCTTCGATTTTTGGCGCTTACAACAATTTCAATATTTTTCCCCGAAAATTACCAGTAATTTATTATTTATAAAACCGAGCCATCCCTGATTATTTTTATAATTTGAAGGGAGAGATTTTCAAACTCGTATGTTTGAATATTATATTAATAATAAGATATACAGGGTGTAACCGCAAGGTGTAGTCATATTAAAGGAGCCAAACCTATACTTGATCTAGACCCTCTGTGCAAAATATCAAATAAAAATAAGTGACTTTTAATGTTGATATAACTTTAATTATGTTTGTATAAATAGTGATTGTCCGAAACAACCACTGCGTCACAACTCTATTGCTAGTTACGTTACTACGACTTCACAAATTCATTAATGAAACCTGGGCGGCCGCAAGCGGGGCGAAAGAACAGCTGACTACAATTGAAATGCCACTGTAAAAACATGATTTGAATATGTTGATAACACGTTAATATTAAGTAACAAAATCTTTAAATACCTAGAAAAATCGAATTATTTCTAACAATATTATTTTATGCCATACCTAGGTACGTACTTATTTACATACAATTTAAAGGATATTTATTTACTTATTAAGCCCGTAGTTACGCACGCCTTCATCGTATACACATTCTACATAATTTTGTATTAATACATTTATTTACGACAATTTTACAATAGTGGATACTTTTTTAATTGGTACTTACCTACTGTGCAATTCATACACGTTTTAATGAATTTCCTACGAATTGTAATTCACTGTTGTACAATGTACGAAATATTGACTTGTTTACGATAATTTTGAATAATAAGTACAATCACTACACGCACTGCTGGCACATTTCACACATTTACAGGTAAGGTTCAAAATGCCGACCTCCATGCAATATGCATATTTCCGTGCGTCGGTACAGAGACTGCTCTACTCTTTGAAGCATTTGCCGAGTGATTTGACTAAACGCCATTTCGATCCGCTGCCTCATTTCTTCTGCGCTTTCACAGGACTCCGCATAAACAATATTTTTATATGACCCCACAAAAAAAATCGAGCGGTGTCAAGTCTGGGGACCACGCTGGCCAGGGTACAGGACCTCCCCGCCCAATCCACTGCGGGAGACGGTCGTTCAGATGGGAACGTACATTTCGAGCAAAATGTGCGGGTGCTCCATCGTGCTAGAAAGTCATCCCGTGTTCCATCACGAGTCTCACGTATTGTGTCACTGGCAGGGCCATCAGAACGTCATCCAAGTCTTCTGTTAGGAATCTTAAATAATTGGCCCCATTCAGACTTGCCGGCAAAAACACTGGACCGATGACGGCACAACCTATTATACCAGCCCACACGTTAATCCGCCACTGGTGTTGAAAATTTGATTCCCTTGATACGCGGGGATTCAAATGAGTCCAAAAATGTTCATTATGCATATTGATAATGCCCGCACGCGTAAATGACGCCTCGTCTGTCCACAGTACCGACGAAGCGAAGTCGGGAGACCTACCAACCTGGTCGCGGTACCAGCGGCAAAATGCCAAACGTAGATCATAGTCCGCTTGTAACAGCTCCTGCGTTCTTTGAAAATGGTATGGGTGCTGGCCATCATCCCGTAGCACACGCCACACACTCATATGGTTCACACCACCAAAGGCTGCCGCAGCACGACGAGTACTTGTCTTTGGATTGCCGAGAAAATGTTCCAAAACATCTGCCTCGAATTCTGGGTCTCGTGAACTCGGCCGGCCTTCAGAACTGGAACCACGGAACGATCCACTATTATGAAGTCTCATAACCATCTTCCTGAAGCATTCCACAGCAGGAAATGGTCGACGTCGATTTTCTGGGACGCCATCAATAAACTTTGCCCAATAAATTTGGCGAGGCTGGCGCAAGCTCCCATCGGCTGCGCCTACGCACAACATCATCTCTTAGTAATCACTATTGCTTAAGCGTGACATAGTTTAAATAAACACAAAAACAAGACACAAACAAACCGATGACACCTATTTAGTCCTCACAACGCAAACGGCAATTACAGACTGTTACAAAAAGTTAAAAAATAGCACCTCTGCCTCAGCGGCGGCACATCAAAGGACGCCGACTGAAACGCAAATTTTGGAATATAGGGTAACGTTTTCATAATGTACCTACAGGGTGAAATTAAAATTATTACCATCCTTTTGAAATAAGACCCTTCTCCTGATACAAATTACATCATTACATACACATTAAACGAATACCTATATCCTACGTCTACGACCTTCAACGTTGCACTGCATACGCCTTTGTTTGTAAACAAGCTCTGACCATCACCCGTACCACTTCCACATAATGCAAGAACTGACTGAGTGATTACGGATATCCTGCACTAAGGAGGCAGTCACCCATCGGAAACTCACGACGTCCGAAACGAAAGCCTAACACACTAACCACTACACCATGGAGGCAGTCGACTATAGGAATCAAATCCAC